AGATTCTGTCCCTGGGGGCTCTGCCACTTCTTTGTTATATCTCCCAGTGAATGGTTTGAAAAAAAACAAAAACAAAACCAAAAACCAGTTATAGGTGCCCAAGGCTGACAACTTCAAGCTGGATTCAGGATTCTTTACAAAAGTCTGGTGGACATTTCTAGGAAATACAATGCAGTTGAAAGATGATGGGTTCTTTGAGGCATAGTTTATTTCCAGCACAGAAGAGTCCCTCAAATTTACTACTCTTCTACTTTCTTCTCCATGAAATGGGGATTGTAATGCATGTCTTCAGAACTGGAAAAAAATCAATGAGATAATGATATAGCATACAGTAGGCGATTGATATGGTTTGGGTCCATGTCCCCACCCAAATCTCATGTTCAATTGCAATCCCCAGTGTTGGACATGGGGCCTGGTGAGAGGTGATTGGATCATGGGGGTGGATCTTTCAAGAACGGTTTAGCACCGTCCCTTTGGTGTTGTTCTGATGATAGCATTCTCATGAGATCTGGTTGTTTAAAAGTGTGTAGCGCCTCTCCACTCTCTTTCCTGCTCTAGCCATGTAAGATGGGCTGGCTTCCCCTGTACTTTCTGCATGACTGCAAGTTTCCTGAGGCATCCTCAGAAGCCAAGCAAATGGCCAGCATCATTCTCCCCATACAGCCTGTGGAACCATGAGCCAATCAAACCCCTTTTCTTTATAAATTACCCAGTCTCAGGTATTTCTTTATAGCAGTGCAAAATGGCCTAATACAGTGATCATATGTGTTTACGGACATTGATGGAGGATTTCCTCTAACCTCCTGCTAGCTGCAAGGGGACCAAATCCTGTTGTGGGACTTGGCCATATGAATTGATAGCTTCTAGTTATGAGTTTGCTAAAGACAATCCTAGTCACTGTCATTTAAATAAGAGATGGTTTATTACCAAAATACTTTTATGGTTGAAACACCAAACTCATCAGCTAAAGCTAATAACTGAAACTATGGCTTAGCATTTGATGTGGGTTTCCTTAAGCCCTTCCGTATTTATATTAACTACATAGTTGTCAGGATGTCTGTACCTTCCTTAACTGGTCTCCTTCCCCTCTCTCATCCTCATATCCCATTATTTCTACCTCTTAAATATTTCTTGACTCCTTCCCTTTCTCCCTTGCTCTTTGTCTCAACAACTGATGCCCTGGTCAAGTCTCATCACTTCTCTCTTGGCTTTTACTGCCAAGGTTTGACAATTACATAAAAGAAGCTTACTTTTGGGCTTGGGCACAGCATGTGCTAGGTGGCGGCACATACTGGTGAAATGTAGTACTGCAATCCAGCTCTATGGGCATATGTTAACATACATCCAGGAAAGAGGAGGGGCAGGAAAGCAGTGTTCTTGGAGCTGTGAGTGTAGGAACAGGACAATTTAGAAACTTCTGTAACAGTGTACAGCTCTGCTGTAATTATGTGTTTTATGTATGTCTTCTCATTAGAAAGTAAGCTCCTTAAAGCAGTCAGAGTATCTATTTTCTTCACTAATTTATATCTAGTACCTAGTCTGACACTGACACACGACAGATGATCAACTTATATTTGTTTGATCGGAGGAAATCTGCCAGATCAAACATCTGTTTGATTCTTATCAGTTGCAAGAATTCCATCAGAGGTAAAGTTTGGTTAATTGTGGGAGGGATGAAACTAGATACAGTTGAATCAGACCAGCTGGGGAGGGATGGGTGTTCTAGACATAGCCTAGTAGCCAACTACAGGATAAGATCATTAGTCCGCACAAGGAAGCCTGGTAGCAGGTAGCAATGCCTAACCAAAACCAGTGCTGGGCCAGGAAACCAGCCCTAGAACACCAGTGAAAGCAAGTCCCCTGTCCTGGAGGGCTTGGCATTATAGGCACAGTATTAAGCAGGGGCTCAGACACAGGGTATAAGGTGGGATCATACTTTCAGATCTAGAGAACAAAAAAAGAGCTTGGCCAGAAGGGTCAAGACAAAAGTGCTGTCTTCAGAGCCAGAGTCCAAGCCTTCATGGAATGTGGTCACACTTAATTCTAATTCTCTGAAATCTTTCACTACCAACGATAGGAATGACCATAGCATCTAGGAAGGAATGACAATGCAGGTATAATCAGATAGAAACAGATTGTTTCGGTTGGGGGGATATTCATAGGAGTGTATAAGGGAGACATTATAGGTGAAGAACATACACACTCTGACTCAGAATGCTAGCCATTGCTGTTGTTGCAAGTCACCTGGTCACACTTCATTCTAAGGAGATAGAAAAGTGTCATCCTACTCTATCTCTGGAAGGAAAATTAGAAATATTCAGTGAACAGGACTAATGACCGTCACACTCTTAAAACTTCCCCGTCTTAGTCCACTGAGAGAATAGTCCTGCTCTCATTTGGAGGTGTCTATTGTTTTCCTGCACCCTTCCCCCTGATTCTCAGATCAAATATAGCCTCTCTGCCAATGCGGATGAGCACATGACTCAAGTTAAACAAATCATAGTATTTCATTACAATGACTGTCATTGGTTCAAGGGGGCATGTGACTGATCAGGATTCTTCAAATTCTTCAAAAAAGCATCCTGTTTCTCTGGACACGGACTTAGGAGGATATGAACATGCCCTCAGTCATGCTCTCTGCCATTGGCAAATAACGGGGAACACACCAATATTTTTAATTCCCCCCTTCCAGGTATTTGATAGGATTATACTTTCTTGCCATCTGGAAACTAGGTGTGCCCATGTGACTGGTTTGACCAAGAAAATGTGAGCAAATGCATTTAAAAGTAGATGCCCAATGCTACAACCTCCTCTTCTTCTGCCTGTGCAAGTGAGGATGCATCTATTGACTGGGAGATGCAGTCATGGAATGCTCCCTTGAAAAACTGTGTAAACCACGGCAGACTTTACATGACAAGAAAGAAATTTTGTTGTTTTAAACCAATGAATAAAAAAAAGAGCACATACTCTGAAGTCAGACAATCTAGAGGATGAATTCCAGCTCCACCAGCTCTGTGACTTTGGGATGTTAAGATTGCTGCGATGAGCCTTGGTTTTCACATCCGAAATATGAGTCTATTGCACACACTTGTTGTAAAGATCATATGCCAGAAGATGCTTTATGCATTGTGTGGCATACGGCACATGATCAATCAATGGTAGTTTTTATTACATCCATCATTTTCCAGCTGGGCAAACATGTTGACTGGTATGAGGGAGAGGAGGAAGGGTGGCAGCAGTTGATGATGCCAAGAACATTAAGTAATATCCAGTTTCTTTCACTGTCCTCTGTTGACATTTTTGGTTGTTTGAGGCTAGTGTCCAGCATTGTTTGGATGGGCAGCTTCCCCTGGTACAAAGCTCAGAAGAATCACTGCTCTGAGTACTTTTCTCATAGATCCAGTCAGGATAGTTCAGGTTACACTGCTGTAATACACAACCCACAAATTGCAGTGGCTTTAAACGCAAAGGCTTGTTTATTGCACACACTACATGCCCATTATGGACTGGTGGGAAGCTCTGCTCCATGTCGTCTCATTCTGGGGCTGAGGCTGCTGAAACAGCCGCTATCTACAACATTGCCAATCGCTATGTCAAAAGGAAAGTGAGGATGGCATATTACTGCTTATAAAGCTTCCACCTAGAAGCAACACGGATCATTTATGCTCTTATTTTCTCGGCAAAAGCAAGTCACCTGGTCACACTTAATTCTAAGGAGATAGAAAGGTGTCATCCTACTCTGTCTCTGGAAGGAAAGTTAAGTTAGAGATATTCAGTGAACAGGACTAATGACCATCGACTTATTCCACTGAGAGAATAGTCCTGCTCTAATCCGGAGGTGTCTACTGTTTTTCTGCACCCTTCCCCCTGAGTCTCAGATCAACTCTAGCCTCTCTGCCAACATGGAGAGCACATGACTCAAGTTAAACAAATCATAGTATTTCATTACAATCCTGATTGGTCACATGCCCCCTTGAACCAATGACTGTGGTTGAGTCATTGGTTCAAGGAGGCATGTGAACAATCAGGGTTCTTCAAATTGATACTGGGAGAAAAGCATCCTGTTTTCTCTGAACATGGACTTAGGACGATATGGGCACGCCCTCAGTCGTGCTCTCTGCCATTGGCAAACAGTGCTGGGGGAAGAATGCTGAAGAACTGAGAGAAAGGAGGTAGAGGCAGAGTCCTTGTAAAGGTTGACTGACATCTAGGGCTGGCCACACACTTCCCTTCCCATCTGGGCTAGTCCTGAGGCTCTTTGCCTTCAGATTCATGACTTTCCGTTCCTTGCTCTGCTCTGTAATCAGAGAGGCTGATCCTTGATGCCTGCGTTTCCCGAGACTCTTGTTTCAGCTGGCTTCTGGTGGTTTGGCCAATGGAAGATGCTGACTGGATGCTGGAGACAGGGAAAAAGGTGAAGCAAGGGAACTTCTTCTCCTCTTTCTCTGCATTGGGCAATTTCTCCAGCAGCAGAGGAGGATCCTCCTTGGCCTCAGCTTCCCCTGAACACATCTGTCAGGGTCCAGGTTCCATGCATTCATGTCCTCCTAGGCTTCCAGCACCTGTGTTTCTCCATCTTTGGGCTGGTAGGAGCTTCTTGCGCTCACGTATTTCTGTGTTACCTTCCTCTCCCTTCATGGTCGCTCAGCTCTCTCATCGTCTCTGTGTAGCCAGTTTCCTGCATTAAATCCCCTCTGTTGCAAATACTTGAAGCAGTCTCTGTTTTCCAAGTGAGACCTTGACTGATCACTGTTTGGTTAGGGAAGCCGCTGTGTTTCCTCTTCGGCTCAGGTGAATGGGAGATAGGTCTCTGTTACCTAAAACTGAGAGTCTGGACGAACACAGCAGTCAACAGGAAAATATGTACCTATCACCTCCCAAATACTTACCCGATGCCAGGCATGGTGTTCAGCACTTTGTTTTCATTATGGAATCCATGAGGTAGGAATTATGACGACGATTTTATAGATGAGAAGCAGAGACAGACAGGTAAGTAATTTTCAATCAGGTTTATTTTCTTTAAGCAAAAATTCACTTAGAACCTGCTGCTCCATGAAACAAGCAAGGGATTCCACAGGTTTGTCAAGGCTCAGCGGTGGCAAGACAAGAAAGGAGGTGAGGAATGACAAAAGACAAGTCTATATGCTATTTCGTGGCCTGGCCTAGAATCTGAACACGCTTCTCCCAGGCAGGAGTGTAATGAGTAAAGGGAGCTCCATGTAAATGAGCTTCAGGCATCCCTAGTAACTGTGATTCAAGTCAAGTTCTGCCCACTAATTGCACACACATTTTGCTCAAGGTAGTAAATAGGAATCATTCACGTGTCCTTAGAGACCGTGGCACCATTCAGTATTCATAGCAAATATATCACCGAGCTTCATAAGAGAATCATTTTAAAACAAAGCTTGGTCAGCTGTTTAATAATTTACTGATAGTGACAGCAGGGAGAATATCTAATAACCAGCAAGATTGGCTTTCAAATAGAAAATAAATTCATGTTAGAAGAGAGAGAGGAGGGAAAAAAAGGGAAGTGGGGGGAAGCATGATTAGCAGCGAGGAAATTTTTAACATTTGTCAGTTAAAAATTTTTTAACTGATTTTTTTTTTTTTCGAATCCTAGTAGAGTGGAGAAACCTGATTATTAAGAGGTTGCTTTTCATTTTAAAACATTCATGGGTCTTTAACGCTCTTCTCACGGGAAACAGGAATTAGCCAGAGAGTCTACCTGAAGCAGGGCATTGACCCCCCACCACCCCAACAACGCTGGGCCCTGGGTGGCATCCACCTTGGTTGATTTGGGGGCTTTTGGGGGCCATATGGTCTTTTCTCATATTTCAGCTACTCTTGGGGGAGTGATGTAAGGCCTGACAGACTGAAAAAACAAAGCCCCAAAGAAATAAAATCAACTCAAACTACAACTGTACATTCCTCTGCTCTAGGGAGAACCTGACCCAGAACTTATTACAAGGGATTTGGCTTCTGGGTAAACTGAACCCTGTTTATTCTTGTTTACTGGCAAAGCCCTATTGAAATGTCTTAGAGATGAAGAGAGTTTTGAGATGGAGGGGCTGGAAGTTCACCGCTGATTCTCATATTCCTGGCCCATGATTGGGAGACACAATGACAGGAAGTTTAAAAAATGCAGGAGCTGTCCAGGAGGGAAACAAAACCTAAAACCAGTATTAATCCCGAATCAGCAAACCTCCTTGTGCCTCAGTTTTCTGTCCTGTAAACAGGACTAGTAAGAGAGCTGTAGGGAATGCATGTAACACTTTTCATTTTACACGGCTCAGAAAATGCAAGTTCAAACATTGCAGAGGCGGAAGCAAAACCAGAGTGAAACATCCCCAAGGTTATCAATCCTTAAGCTTCAGCGGCAGACAGTGATGTACAGTGTGTTTATGAAGCCCCCCACCGCATCCCGGCCCTTTACAGCCCTCCCCAGCGCACAGGGCACACTCTGTCCTCAAACCAGTCCCTAAATTTGCCACTCTGGAGACAGGCTTCCAGATAAGCCATGATTTCCGTGTTCCCGGATGGTATTTTCTATGGTTTTACATTCCGAGTTTGTACCCTCGATCCTTCACGTTGATGTCAACAAACTCACTTTCATCTTTCAAGCTTGGAGAAATAATGATCTCTCAACGTTTTACTTGATGTGAGAATGGCTTGAAGAAACGTGTGCAGTCTGGACGGTCATGCCAAGGAACAATCTCAGTGCGTTCTGGAGTCCTCTGCTGTCATCTTGGCTCTGTTTCACGAAGGGGAGAAGGAGATTCTGGGGGCTGAAGTTCACTGCCATCACTTGGGGTGAAATGTATTTCTGTGTTGTATAATAACATGCTTCGTAAACAGATGCTGTTTTCTGAAACGTATGATAACAGTACCAGTCCCGTGGTAGAGAGACACAATTCCAGAAATTTATAAAACTCCAGGAGCTGTTGAGAAGAAAACAAAACTTAAAACCAAATCAATCCTGAATCAGCAAACCTTCTTGTGCCTCAGTTTCTTCTTTTGTAAATGGGGAATAATAAGAGAATTGTGGGGTGGATAATTCACATAGGCTTTTAGCTGCATGCATGGTTCAGAGTAAGTCAAGTTCAAGTTCCACTAGATTAGCGATGGAGTAACTTGCTGGGTGAAAACGTTTTGAGGGTAACATGCTTTGGTACAGAGGAAAGGGAGGTTGTGTAAAAATCACAGGGTTAGGCCGGGCGCGGTGGCTCACGACTGTAATCCCAGCACTTTGGGAGGCCGAGGCAGGTGGATCCTTTGAGGCCAGGAGTTTGAGACCAGCCTGGCCAACATGGCAAAACCCCTTCTCTACTAAAAGTACAAAAACTAGCTGGGTGTCATGGTGCATGCCTATAAGCCCGCCTGCTTGAGAGACTGAGGCATGAAAATCGCTTGAACACGGGAGGTGGAGGTTGCAGTGAGTCAAGATCACATCATGGCACTCCAGCCTGGGTGACAGAGCCAGACCCTGTCTCAACAACAACAAAAATCACAGGGTCTGTCTGGGTATGGGGGTTAGAACGAGTGTCCGATGGAGAGGATGAGGACATAGGGAAGGAGCAAGCCCCAGGTGACTGGTTAAGTCTCTAGACCACTTATTAAAGGGATTTATAAGAGAGTTAGACCAGAACAGCCAGACTGCCCAAGATTATTTGGAGAAGATTCCCCTTCCCCACTCCATTCGGCCTTCGTGGGGTTGTCATTTATGGCTGTCATCCTCAACACAGAGAGGTGGACAAAAAACCTAGGCTGGCCAATTATGGTGACACCCCTTCCCCCTGCCAATATGCCTGGCCATATCCATTCATTCAGGAAATAGAATGTGAACCAAATCACCCAAAAATATCTTTACTGGGTTTTTGGGGATAGTGTGGTGGGGTGTTGCAGAAGGTCTCACTTTATACTGAAGGTGGTAAGCAGTGAGACCTGTGTATGGAGCTGTCATTGGTCAGTTTCTTTGACTACCCACAGAGAGAAGCCTATCTGAAACAGAGACAGAGACAGAGACAGAGACAGAGACAGAGATAGACAGATAGGGAGAGAGAGGAGGCTGATGCCATCATTTGAGTACCTAGATCTAGCTTTGCCTGAAGGTGCTCATGAACTGCTCAGCTAAATAAGCCACTGGGTTCCTCTTTTCACTTAAGCTTGAGTTGGGTGTCTGTCATTCATAAGAAAAAGAGTCTTGCCTAAAATACAAGAAATGTTTGTGTTCCCAGCGCAGTATTCATCCTTTAAACCCTTATAGGTGTCTGAGACATAGAATGGGCAAATGCAGACCTGCATTCCTGAGAATCACCTGGGGTGTCCATTAGAAATGCAAACTTCTAAGCTTCAACCTACAGAGATGCTGATTCAGCTCCATGCATCATTAACAGTTCTGGTGCAGGTGGGGTCCATGGCCTCACACTGAGAAGTAGATCACCTGCCCAGCACACCCTCTTCAGTAACATAGGTCCCATGTGCAGGGATCCCCTAAGGTGAGCAAGGTAGGGGGGCATCTTTAGGAAAGTGTATTAGATTATAAGGGGGTGGGTAGAGCTCTGTGTAGCTGTTCCCCCAAACTTCTTAGATGATTTATATTTCGCCTACCTAGGGGTGGGGAGAACTCTGAGGAGTCTTTGCAATGTTCTTGGTAGAATAACCTGGGGAAGATTTAAAAATACTGTTGCTTGGGGCGTACTCAAATAAATCAGTGGCTGAGGGTGGGGTTCCAGGTGATTCTAATACGCAGTAGGGTTGAGAACCACTGCAGCAGAAATCCAGGAACGATCAGGCTCGGGGGTTTCTCCTGAAGGCCCTCTTGCCAGCCTAAATTTTCTCTGTACAGTATTGCAGGGGTGAACTGTGGTGAGCAGAATTCTGTTACTTACTGTCAGGGCGTGGGCTAGTGGGTGGAAGGTCTGTAGGTGCTTATCAAAATATAAGATACATCAATGAAAACAGAATAACAATGACATGCCATAACACAAAGTAGCAAGCCTAAGCAAATAACATTAATAAGAGAGGGCTATGAAGGAAAACATCATGAAAGTATATTAAGAACCAAGAATTCGGCCGAGTGCGGTGGCTCACACCTGTAATCCCAGCACTTTGGGAGGCTGAGGCGGGTGGATTACCTGAGCTCAGGAGTTTCAGACCAGCCTGGGCAACACGGTGAACACCGAACTCTACTAAAATACAAAAAAATTAGCCAGGTGTGGTGTTGTGCACCTGTAGTCCCAGTTACTTGGGAGGCTGAGGCAGGAGAATTGCTTGAACCTGGGAGGCGGGAGTTGCAGTGAGTCAGCATTGTGCCACTGCACTCCAGTCTGGGTGACAGAGCAAGACTCCATCTCAAAAAACCAAAAAAACAAAAAGAACCAAGAATTCTAATTAAGCCAACTCTGTAAACCAGAAGTCTGAAGAAAGTTTGCAGAAGTTTCTGTGAACATGAAGCGTTCTTTCTGTATCATTTCTGCTTCAAGTCTCTTGGTGCCTTTTCTTTCTCAGAGGTTGGCATCTGCTGTTCCTGGGACTCGGGCCTCATGGAAGAGGCTCAGGACCATGGCAGACAGGCCCTAAAGCCTCTGGGGACTTTACTGTGGTTTCTCCCTGCCGTGGACAGCCCTGTTACTGCTTTGAGCCCCCGGGCCACGTGCTTCTGGCAGTCTGACCAGAGTACAGATTTCACATTGGCCTGGACAGAACCACCCCGTTATGCCCTTTTGTGAGATTCAGTCTGATAAAAAGGACACATTTCCAGGCCCTTCCCTGAAGCATTGGGTTTATCAGTCTAGGGTACGTGGGTTATTAACAAGAGCTCCTGGTGGTTCTCAGGACCAGGCACAGTTGGAAACCACCACCCCATCATCTCATCCTGCACAGCCGACAGCCTTGCTGGGGTCTTGCTAATGAGCTGGTTTCCCCATAGATCTCGATATATGGGTCACTGTCCTTTCTGTTTGATAACAGCTCATGCTGAATGTACATGGCCCTGGCAGGCAAATTTGGCCCTAGTCTTAACCAATATGTATTGAGTGCTTGCTGTATGCCATGCTGGGTTGGCTTTGGAGACATGAGGGTGTGAAGACAGTACTGGCATCCTTCAATGCTGTCACCTGGATGGAGAAGGCAGATCTGCAGATGCCACCACTGAGGAAGGAATTCACTAATTCTTCATCCAGGCCACTGCAGTCCAGCCCACAGACCCTGCCCAGAGCTGAACCTTGAAGGATGAGGGCTTGGATACCTGGATAAAGACAAGGAAGGATCCTGCTTTTGAATTTGGCATTCCAGAGAGAGAGGGAACAACAAAGGCAGAGGCCCAGAGGGAGGTCATGGACAGTTGTGTGTGACTTGGAGTAAAGGGTGTGTGTAAATGGAGTGTGGAAGAAATGAAACGAGAGAACAGAGAGCATTGAACTTAGGTCTCAGCTTCGTGGCTTTGAACTTGAAGACTCTTTCAGACCTCTGAGTACTTGCCTAGGCTGTTTCAGCCTTGGAATACCCCTCTTTTCTTCTCTACTTGGGGGTGGGCTTAGAAAGGCCTTAGAAAGGTGTGGTGGTTACACCTGTAATCCCAGCACTTTGGGATGCCAAGGTGGGTGGATTCCTTGAGGCCAGGAGTTCAAGAGCAGCCTGTGCAACATGGCGAAACCGCATCTCTACTAAAAATGCAAAAATTAGCCAGGCCTGGTGGCGCACATCTGTAATCCCAGCTACTTGGGAGGCTGAGGCACAAGAATTGCTTGAACCTCGGAGATGGAGGTTGCAGAGAGTCGAGATTGCACCACTACACTCCAGTCTGGGTGAAAGAGCGAAACTCCGTTTAAAAAAAAAAAAAGGCAGGCTGGGCCCATGCGGTTGGTTATGGTAAGGATTGTGGACTTCATGCTGAGGGCAATGGGGGCTTTAATGAAGGGCGTTAAGCTGGTGAGTAACAGGTTGTGGAGTGACTGTCTTCTTGAACAACCACTCTGACTGCTGAGTGTGGGGAGGGGTTTGGAGGGACAAGACTTCAGGCAGTAAGGAGCTAAGTCAGAGCTAAGGTCGCTGCAGGGAGATCGGGAGAAGCAGCAGGTTCACAAACCTTCTAGAATCTGAGTTGGGAGTCAGGGACCAGGAGAGAGACTGAAGGTCTTGGGGGAACCTCAGTGCTCCGAAAAGACATGTCCTCAACTCCTGGGCGCCAAGCTGGTGCAGGAATGGTGGCTTTTCTCCTGCTTCATCAGATAAGCCACTTCACTGGAAGCAAGAAATAAAGCCTAGGGCCATATCTCGATCGTGTTTGACGTCCATTATTCCAACCCTGACGCTAACACCACCCTGTCCCCAGTGTGCTTAGGTGACCTCTCAGTATGGGCGGACTGTGGACTCCTTGCGGATGGGGTCACTTTATCCCGACATCCCCACTGCCCAGCAATGAGGCCAGGTGTCAGAAGTGCGAACACCTGTGATGGGTACTTGGCATACATCACTTAGCTTTTTAAAAAAATTACCAGAAACAGCTGTTTGGCAGACGTCACCTGGGTGAGATGCAGTGCTGACATTAAATTCAGGGCATCTCAGACACTGAGGTCTACTTGGCAACAGTCTGGACCACGTGCTGGTATTTTGGCCCGAGGAATACCAGCTGGCCCACCGTGCCATGCCGTTGTCCAGGTGTGTATGACAGTTGGCCTGGAGTCAAGGCTGGGGTGGTCTGGTGAATTTCAGACTTGGAAGTGGGAAGAAAGGAAGGGAAATGGGCCCTTGAGTGGGCCAGCCCTGTACTAGGCGTGTTCACATCCATTAACTCACTTAATTCTCACTCAGCTCAGCGAGGTGGGAATAATCACCCAATTTCACAGATGGGGAAACAGATTTGGAGAGGGAAAGTGACGAGTCTGTGGTCACTTGGGTGGTAAATGGAGATGTGGAGGATGCAGGCAGGTGCGAGGCCTCCTTGGAAGGGGGACGTTATCAAAATGGAGCATGACGGAGAAGAGGAACCAGGTGCTGTGAGCCTGAACATCTATCAGAAGAGGAATCGGAAGGGTTTTAAGAAACTGAGACCCCCTTATCTGGAGCATGCCCAGTCTCCAAACAAAGGTTGCTGCGTCCAGGCTCTTACTTCCCCAGGAGAAAGATTCAACTTTGAAGGGAGGAAATTACAGATCGGCAGTGTCGGTAAAGCAGCAGGGAAATCTTTACAACCACGAGGACCTCAATCTGGAAATGGATTCCATTGTGAAGTCCTGCTTTTGAATGAAGCGATATTATTGGATAATATATCCTTTTTTTTTTAACAGAAAAAAATGGGTGGATCATGAGGTTAAACTTGAAAATACTTACGATTTCTAAGTTGCATTTGGGTTATTTGTATTTGCACATCTTGACAGATAGCATTAATGCATATTAATATTCCTGCCATCAAAACATTACTCAAGCCAGAAGTACTGGCTCTGTAAGCGTCTGCGGTGTGTGCACAGTCGCTCTGCTAATAGAAAGGTTAACTTGTATTTTTGAATTATTGATGGTTGCTTGTTACTAATTTCTTTTTCCTCAGAAAGGAGGAAATTATTAATGAAGAGATCATTGCCAATGTGTCTGACATCTATTAATGGTTTCATCTTGCAACCAGATTAAAAGAGACAGCTGGTCCATGAATTCACGCGTGGAGGCAGCTCCAAATGTGCTGACAGCTCCGTGGGAGGGCGGGGCCCACTGCAGTGGGCCTGAGCTCTGTGCGGCGGCTGGTACAGGGTCCGCCCCTGGTTGGCACGGCCTCCGTGGAAGGGTCGTCAAAGGTTTTGCTGCTGATGGACCAGGCAGCAGATGGGCTATCACTCTCTTGGCATCTTTCCAAACTCTTCTGTTACCCACGGGAGCCCATTCGCACCATCACTGTAGCAGTCACTTGTTGGTTTCCTCCATGAGTGTTTTAGAACAGCGGGTTTCAACTTGAACATGCATCCGAATCACCTGGAAGGCTGGTGAAAGGAGAGCCCAGGCCTCACCGCCAGCGTTTCTGATTCAGCAGGTCTGGGGTGGGACGTGAGAACTTGTATTTCTAATGTGTTCCCAGGTGCAGCTGATGCGATTGGTCCAGAAACCACACTTTGAGAATGAGTTTTAGATCAGTAATTGTCAAATTGTGTTGTAAGAGTTTCTCTAAAGGAAGGGTTGGCAAACTTTTTTCTATAAAGGACAAGACAGTAAATATTTTAAGCTTTTTGGGCCAGATGATCTTCTTACAATCACTCACCTCTGCTGCTATAGGTCAGAGTGGCTGTAGGCAATACGTGAATAAATACATGGATTTGGGTTTCAATAAAATTTATTTATAAAAATAGGCAGTGGTCCAGATTTGGCCCTTGGGTGGAATTTGCTAACCTCTGCTCTAGAGCAGTGCCGTCTAGTAGAACTTTCTGCCAAAAGCAGCGATAGGCAGTATGTAAACAAATAAGCATGGCTGTGACACAATAAAACTTTATTTATAAAAACAGGCAGTGGGCCAGGTATGGCAGAAATTTGGTGACCTATGTTTTAGAGCAGCACTAATAGAATTCTCTGCAATGTTGGAAATGTTCTGTATCTGCATTGTCTGATACAGTAGCCACTGGCCACCTGCGGCTGAGTATTGAAATGTGGTGTGGCCAACCACTGAAATTCTAAATTTTAAATTTAAATGGCTAGTGGCCATCAATGCTACAGCAAGAAGACAGAGGCTCCAGTGGAGCAGCCACCCCCATCGCAGGAAGTGACCCTTTCCACCTTCCTATGTGGAGTCTTTGCCTTTCTTGAGCCTCAGGGTCCTCATGTGTACGATGGAGATCAAACAATAGTGACATCACTGGATGTTTCTCATTGGACTTTGATACTTTAACACAGAATACACTCTACTAGATATGTGGTTGGGAAATCTCATTAGTAAGACACGTGGCCCCAGCAGGTGTCTTCCTCCTCGTGCTCTGGTCTCTACTGGAGGGCTGACCACTGGGGGCGAGGCAGGGCTGGGGAGATGGGGACCAGCTCTGGGTCTTTACTCTGCCAGATTGTAAGCTCCATGACGGCAATGACCGCTGCTGTTGTTTAGGCTGCAAACCCACAGCCCTGAGATCCCTGACACACACATCAAAAGGCCAGCACACCTGTTGAAAGGATGCCTCAAGTTTCAGGTTTCCTCTGAAACTGTGCTAGACATAGAGATCTGTAGTCGAAATGTCTGCACACTCGTCTTGGTCCCTGCCAGAGCTGAAAGGGAAGCCACTGGGCAGATATGGAAACTGACACGCAGAGAGGTCTTGCCAAAGGTTTCATGGGGTTAAGGGCAGAGTGACTCTGAAGAGGCCTGCTAGCTGAGCATAACTAAAAGGGTTTGTAGGGCAGAATGCCATCTCTCACAAAGCTCACCCTGCCTCCTTCCTTCATTGCTGATGCGATGCTGAGCCCAGCCCCGAGCCAAGCACATCTGTGGTCATGTCCTAGCTCCCTGGGCTGATGGGGTCAGATGGGAGAGAGGGCTCCCTGTGTGGGAGGATGGGAGACGATGCTGTAACTTTCCATGAGTTCCCTCCCCTGAGAAGCCAGCTAGCTGGAAGCCTTGTGTAAGGCGGCTTTGTCCGTGTACCAGCCCTCTCTCTCCACCCCAAGCCCGCATCTCCTAGCAGCCCTGTGGTAAGCGTCCAGGTCCCCTTTAGGAACCCAAGTCTTGCAGAACAGATGAAGAGGAGACAACATCCCCACAATGTAAAAAGCACCATGCCAGTGGCCCGCGCTGGGGAACACGCCTTGAGCAGGAAGGGCCCGCCGGCCAAAGTTCCAAAGAGAAGCCCTAAGGACCAGTGTAGTTTCCTGGGGAGAGGGTGCAGTGCAGGGCTTCCAGGCAGAGGGACTGGCCCGTGCAAAAGCGTGGCAGTGTGACGGGTGCCAGAGCCCTGCTGGGCAGCAGGTGGCAGCACGTGCTACTGAAGGAAAGAACGGGCAGTTTCTAGGCGTGGAGGGAGGTTCAGAAAGCACAGAGGGTCACAGTTCATAACCACGGTGCACCTGGGCAGGTAAGTCCTGGTGCCGGGATCAGTTCCCACTCCACCAGCTCAGTGACTACTGAAATGTTTTTTTTTTTTTTTTTTTTTTCCTTGGGGCCGCATGAACTCCATTCAGACCTGGGGGATTTGCCTGCAGTGATATCGCATCCCTAAGGCAGGGTGCGAAGGTTGGGGGGGGCTGCTGAAGGGTGTGTGCTCTGAAGATGCTGTGAGAACTGCTATTTTATAGTTTTCCAGAAAGCTTGAGAGAGGGGATGAATTGGCAGGAGTCCAAGGAAGTCGGGACACGTTACAAGTGTGGCAGCAAGCTCTTTAGTGGCTTAGAAATCTCCTTCCCACCTGGGCCAGCCCCTGGGGTCAGCCATGACTGGAGTCCCAGAGGGGGCGGTCTTGGGTCAGAGCTCTCCTCCAAGGCAGGGTTAGATTGAGTGAGCGATGGAGCCAACAGCTGACCGCTCAGCTCTGAGCAGAAGGGATGTTTCCATTCCAACTGTCCCAAAGGCTGTGCATTGTGGTGTCCCCAGAGAACAGCACAGAGTGAGGCACACAATTTAAGTACGACATATTGGTAGAATTCTTAATATCCAAGGCAGCTTGTAAAAGGATCAACTCCCAGGCCACCCCCCACTCTCCCCAGCAGGAGTCTGGGAAGGGGACTTGGAGAAACCTTCCTGGTAGTTGGTCCAACAGGCTAGTCCAAGCACTTCACCTTTTGAAAGTGGTCATGGTCATGGTGGTGATGGTGGGAAGTGGTCCGGAGAGGGGTGGAAGAATTTCCCTGGGATTGCAAGCGTGGGGTAGGAGGAGTAATTGGGTTTCCATTTAAGGGAACTGTCCCACTCCACCTAGTGGGGCCTGGGGACTGACAGAGTGAGGCCCTGTGTTCTTTGCCATGACAACTTGGGTCCAGAGCCTGGGGCTCCCCACTTTTGGAACCCTGACCATGCTTGATTTTCACAATTCCCCTACAGTCTGCCCAATCCAGTCCCTGGAACCCCAACAAGGATGGGGGTAGGGGGCCGTGCTGACACAGGAGGGAGGGCTTTGGCCAGGGAGCAAAGTGTTCACAAAGTGTGAATCCCTTAAGCATTTTTGGATGTCCTCGCCCTTGGCTTTTACATCTCGGACACCCAGCCGAGACTCAGGTGCCAGCTGCCTCTCAGGACAGCAGAGAGCCAGGCTGTGGGCTTCGGACTGAGAGGGACAGCTCTAACTCTGATCTATGGTTTTAGGCTTTCAGCACCAACCAGGTCTTTGTTAAGACCTAGAAGAAAAGGGAAAAAGCTACGTGGTTCTGTCTCCCTAGAAAAGGAAAGGGAAGGCTGCCAGAGAAAAATTGTGGGGGCTGGGGAGATGCCTCATGCCCCGTCTGCGCCCCCTCCCGCGTGGTGGTGGGGACAAGGAAAAGATGTGGGTGAACAAGGTGGGGTGGGCGGCTAATTGAGGGGGGCAGCGATTGTGGTGCGGTCCTCGAAGCGCCCATAAGAGTGTGACTGGTTGTGTATGTGTGTGTGTGTGTGTGTGTGTGTGTGTGTGTGTCTGCGCGCGCGCGCGCGGTCTTAGATGAAATTCTCATCTCAGGGTGTGCCAGAGACCCCGGCCAGCAGCCGCCTGCCCCAGCTTCGGGCAGATGCCCCTCCCCCTTTCGCAATTCACTTGGCCTCTCATCTAGAGTTGAGAGGGCTGCTCCTTCCCTCCCTCCTCTCGCCACCGAACCCCCATTCACCTGTTCCCCACCCGGAGTTCAAACGGCTGCTCCCGCTCCCTCTCCCCGCACCGCCCCCGTACCTGCGCCCCCACAGGGCAGACGGTGCTTGGCTGAGCGGCGCGGCGCGGGGCGGAGGCGAGGACCCTGCCGGTGGTGCGGGTGCGGGGGTGATGTGTGGACGCGCGTGACTGTGCCCGCGGCCCGAGCCAGTCGGCCTCGGAGAGGGTGCGCGGGGGAGCCCGTGTGCCAGCCGCGGGCGTGTGCCAGGCGCGGGCGTGCGCGCGAGGGTGTGTGCACGGCCGAGGCGGAGCGCCCGGGCGGGCGGCGGCGGCGGCGGCGGCGTTAGGACTCGGGGGACACCGCCCTCCGCCCCCCGCGTCCCGCCCCCGCCCAGCCTCCCGCCTCAGTTCGCGCCGCGCCTCGGCTCGGAGCGAAGCGGCGCCGGCTCCGGGAGCCCGAACGGAGCCAGCCGCGCGCACAGCCAGCAGCCGCGCCGGCGATGCAGGGCCGCCCCGCTCCCGCCCCAGTTCCGGCCCCGGCCCCCGCGGGAAGGGGCTGAGCCGCCCCCGCCGCCCGGATGGCGAGCCTCGCCGCGCTCGCCCTTAGCCTGCTCCTGCGGCTGCAGCTGCCGCCGCTGCCCGGCGCCGGGGCTCAGAGTGCCGCAGGTGAGTGCGCCCGCCCGGCTCCCCTGGGCTCCCCGCTCCTTCCCGGATGCACGCGGGGCCCCCAGCCGCGGGGACCCTCGAGGAGAAAGTTGTGCGGGCTCGCGGGAGCGCGGGGCCCCATGGCCGGAGCCCGGGTCTCAGCCTGCAGGCGCAGGAGGCCGCGTCCCGGCGCGCCCCGGCCAGCAAGCCCGGCTTCTCGCGTCCCTCGGCGGCCCGCGTTTGGCGAAGTTCTCCGCTTCACTTTCCTGTCGCCCCCCTGGGGCGGGAGTAACTTTCCGCGGTTGTTGCGAATATTTCCACTTGCTGCCTCCCACTTGTCGGAATCTGCCACTTGAGTGTTTGGGGCGGCGGGACGAGGAGTGGCGCGGACGCCCAGGGTGGAGCGTTGTCTCCCGGGCAGCTCCTCGGGCAGCGCGCGCTTTTAGTGGGGAGGACAGGTCCCCCAGCAGGCCGAGGCTGCCGGGGCGGTGGCTTTTCTTCTCTCCTCGGAGATACTGGAAGCTCGACAGGGGCTCCGAACGCGTCGCTCCCCTAAGCAAGCGGCCGAAGGCGCCGGTGGGGATGTGTGCGCGGATGACGGAGCCGCAATACCTCCGCCCTACCCGTTAGCTTTTCTCCGGGGTAGCTGGGCGCCCTTGTTGTTGAGGCCCTTGGAGGGGAGTGGATTTGACCCGTGAGCGCACCTGCTCCTGAAAAGTTCAGGAGACTCCTATTTGGGTTTGGCCGCGGGAAGGGGGTGAGCAGAGATAGTTCCCCAGAATAGGGGAGCGAGGGGTGCCCTGACGGGCTCCTAAAGGCACGCTGGCGTGTGCTGGAGAGCATCGCGGTCCAGGGTCTCCACATCACCAAGCCCCTCTTCGGGCAGTTTCCAGCCCCAGCCCCCCAAGAGTAGCGGCGGACGGAAGGAGAGAGGGAGGGAGTGCTGCAGGTGTACTTCAACGTTCAAAATCACCTTGAAGTTTCTTAGCACCGATTGCTTTTGGTGTAACCACGGCCAGGTGGCTGGGATCGCGGGGATAGGCTGAGATCAGCCCGTGGGACGCAGGAACAGGCTCGTTTTGGCTCGCTCAGCAACAGCTGTGCCCTTTTACTATTTCACCGAAAGAAGGAAAGAAAGAGCAAAAGAACGAACCTGTGGGGAAGTAGAACGTCTTTGCACAGGCTGCGTCTGAGGCTAAGAGCCGCTGGAGGGACATTCCGTTGGAAATGCGTTAGAGCCTTCCTTGCTTGGTACTGAAATGGAAACGGAATAGGCGACTTTTGCGAAGGAATAGCCTGTTTCTCTGGCTGGGGAAGTTGTTGGGTGACGAAGACACTCCTTTTGAGGTGTGTGAAGCTGAAAGGTTGGATTGGCAAGTGAGAGAAGAGGGACAGCCACGGCACCATTCTAAAGATGGTGCACAATTCTTGTTTTCCTCATTTTGGGGTGTGCTTTAGGTGTGCTAGGGAGGGAGGGGTGCTAGGGAGGATGCCCGGGGCACTCCTGGGGACCCAGGCATGACTCATGACTCGGATTTTATATCCTCTAAGACATGACCGGCCAACCGCACATTAATACCACTCACGTTCTCGCGGCAGAAACAGGATCAAAAATATTCCATCACGGGTCTCATACCGTTCTTGGGTAGCAAGCGGTAAAACCCGTACCGGCTCGGGAAGCTGTCCAGTGCTGAACGCCGCCCGTTCCGGATGCTCCCGCCAGGTGGCGCTCGCCCACAACTATTAAAATGCAAATCTGGTTGCTTTCACATCAGGAATAGAACTTTTCAATTTTTAAATGAGTAATGTGTTTATTCAGCAGCCTTTTGTTAAAACACTTAGAGAAGTGTGAGGAGCGAGCACCTTTTCTTTGTTTGCTCTTCAGAACGCAGGAGAAAGAAAATCCTGGAATACGGTTTGGGAAGAAATCTGTTAAGGCACTGTGTATTTCTTTTGGGTCTACCTGGGCAGAGTGGCTTCTGCAAACCCACTACATAGCATATATTTAGCAGGTGGCTGCCTTTGTGCCAGGGGCCCCTTCAGCGAATGGGATTAGCTTGTATTGGAGATTTGGTGCATTCTAAGCCTTATGCATTTGTAGAAATGGGGATTTTCTGTATATGTCTGTACTCTCCTCTCCAGTTTAACAGCAACTAGACCATCTAAATTGGATTAATTTTTTTCCGGGGTTTCTCATGAACGTCTGTATTTGTCAAAACAATACTGTAAACGTTGACTTAAAAAATGGACCTATTTTATTCCTAAATTCAGAAATTCTTCGAATTTCAATTCTAGTGTAAATATGACAGTAACTAGATTTCCTTTAAAGTATTTTATTTAAAACTTTTGGCGAGTTCGGATAAATACATTTTAAAACTAAGTAATGTGCTCTCCATGTTCTTTTGATCTGAAAATTCCCAATCTTGAAAGCAATTTCAGTTTGTAAGCTTACATCCATGATATAGTTGTGCTAATGTGTTTTGCTGTAACATGCTGGTCACAGTGCCCAAAAGTCAGGGGCAAAAGCTTGTCATCAAAAGGCAATTTCCTTTTTCCTTACTCTAAGGCATATTTCTTGAGCCATGACAGTTTTTGTAAGGAGTGATAGCAAAAAACAAACAAAAAACATTTTAAAACAGCCTTGTAACAATGTGGCAAAATACGATTTAGGATGGGGGAAGAGAGAGACAGTTAAATGAATAAAGGGATAATTAGTTCATTTACTAGTGGGTTTAAGAATCCGTATATTGAGGGCAAAAATGGATCTTATAGGGGACGAACTTGCAATTGCAATTGTTATCAATGTAGTCATTTAACTCGATAATCACTGCCAGATACCTCTGGGGAACTGTTAGCAGTACAGTCGAATTTTACTTTCTCTCATGGATTGCTTGATTTGTTTCCTAATAAAAGAACAATTAATGTGCAAACCTGGCTTACATTCTTTTCCAGCAACAATCACAAACACATAGTAAGAGCAGACCATCTTCCTGGGTTACAACCCACTCTCTTTCTACTCTATGTAATTTCTTCTTGCTTTTCCTCAGCACAGCTTGGGCAGGTGCCAGGCTGCCAGCTGAGACAGTGTTCCGTGTAGTAGTGTAGCTGTCACCTTTCATAGCCATGATCAGAGGACATTACAGCGTCACTCTTTCAAGCATGGGATACTCCCATGACTCCGTGACAGTGTGTTGCTGTGGAAACAAGAGCAGTGCTGTGTAGGTGGTGGTCCTTGATAAATATTTATTGATGATGGTGAAGAGATGGTGGCGTCTCATGGCAGCCATACTGGGGAAGGGGCAGGGGAGTTTAACTCAGGAGGCAGCGTGGTTTAGAGAAAAGAGTATGAGCTTTGGCCTCTGAAGTCTTCAGTTTGAATCCCGCCTCTGCTTCTTTCCAGCTATACTAGCTTGGGCAAGTCACTTGCGTTCTCACATCCCAAGCTTCTCATTTGTAAAGCGAGGATAATTAAAGCTGTCTCGCTGGACTTTGTGGAGACCAAATAAGATGCCATTTGCAGAGTGAATGGAAGACCGTCTGGTACATAATAGGTACTTCGTCCCATGAGAAGTCTTGTCTGTTACTTCAGCACAGGTGCATGTACACAGGCGGGGGTGGGGGTGGGGCATCAGTCTTATGCTAAGTAGTGAACTGACCATGAAATGGCTGGATTTCGGTGATGATTTTGTCTCACTCCGTCACCCAGGCTGGAGTGCAGTGGTGCAATCTCAGCTCACCGCAACCTCTGCCTCCTGGGTTCAAGCGATTCTCCTGCCTCAGCCTCCCAAGTAGCTGAGATTAAAAGTGTGTGCCACCATGCCCAGCTAATTTTTGTATATTTAATAAAGACAGGATTTCACCATGTTGGTCAGGCTGGTCTTGAATTCCTGACCTCAGGTGATCTGCCGCCTCGGCCTCCCAAACTGTTGAGATTACAGGCATGAGCCACTGTGCCCACCCAGTTTTCTTCCTTTTCTTCTTTTTAGGGGCTTGATTCCCTGCAACTGTTTTTACAAAGAGATTGCCAATGAAATTTGCCAACAGATATCACTAGTAAATCTGGCCATTCAAGGATTTAAATAGGGAATGCTTACTTTTAAGCCTATTTTACCCTCTGACTTAGAACTGTTGATAAAACACAAACGGTTACGTATTGCAGAAGGACATGGTATTTGGATGTATTCTGTTTCCCTTCCTGCACCTTCCGTGTCCAGCCTTCCTTGCTTTTGGGCTCTCTCCTGTACTGTTCCCTAAGCTAGAAATCAAGTACACAGCACTCTGGGGCTGTGGGGGAAAAGATACTTTGTGCCCTCGATAAACAAGCAAAGAATAAAACAAATCGAGGGTCACGGCATTCCAATAAACAAAAAGCTGTGAGATCATTGAGAGGAAACCATGTCTGACAAGTATAATAGCATTTGCAAAGACATTGCAGAATTGAGTCCAGAAGGCAATACTACGTAGATATTAGGAAGCTGTTAGAGTGTCTCATGAAATCTTACAGAATGGATTCAGATTAGTATGGAGTAGAAGAAAGCCACGTATTTTCAATAGATTAACAACAATCAGATGCAGCCACAGGGACAGGGATTCATCAACAGTGTGTGTCCAGGTGGTTTAGGGTGACCGGTTGGGATC